CCAACATGTGTCCTTCATGTGTCCCCCATCTGTCCTCTATCTGTCCTTCATGTGTCCAACATGTGTCCTTCATTTGTCCTTTATGTGTCCTCCATGTGTCCTCCAGTTTTCCTCCATGTTTCCTTCATGTGTCCTCCAAGTGTCCAAAATGTGCCGACATGTGTCCTTCATGTGTCCTCCATCTGTCCTCTACCTGTCCTTCATGTGTCCAACATGTGTCCTTCATTTGTCCTTTATGTGTCCTCCATGTGTCCTCCAGTTTTCCTCCATGTTTCCTTCATGTGTCCTCCAAGTGTCCAAAATGTGCCGACATGTGTCCTTCATGTGTCCTCCATCTGTCCTCTACCTGTCCTTCATGTGTCCAACATGTGTCCTTCATTTGTCCTTTGTGTCCTCCATGTGTCCAACAAGTGTCCAACATGTGTCCTTCATCTGTCCAACATGTGTTCTACATCTGTCCAACATGTGTCCCTCATGTGTCCTCCATCTGTCCTAACCCTCCATCTTTCCTCTATCTGTCCTTTATGTGTCCTCCATGTGTCCAACAAGTGTCCATCATGGTTCCTCCAGCTGTTCTTTATGTTTCCCTCCAGGTGTCCTTTTTTTCTATGTCCCCAGGGCCGCTATAAAGAAAGATGAGTGGACTGTCATGAAATATTTATTCCCAGAATGTGTCGGATGTGATGTCAGAAATAGTTTTGATTTATTGTGTTTTAAAGGACAAGGCTTTTTGTTCTTTTTAAATTGATTTTCAGCTTTTATCCCAGGAGGTTCATTAGAATCTTTTGGACCTCCTTAGACAGGGCCATACTGGTCCTAAGGGCCTTTGGTCCTACAAGTCAAGATGAAGACCTGTAGTTTGGACGGACACGGATCACCCTCTAAATGCCGACAGCGGTGCTGAAATGTTGTGTTTGTCAGAGTCGATGTCATTTAGTGGAGCTTATCAGGAATTTGCTCTGTTTTATGTTCTTTGCATGATACTCTCATTTAGTTTTTATTGTGTTTGTGATCGAAACATTACAGTACACCTTTAGTTTGGTAGAAACTGAATGTTTCATCTACTTGGCAGCAAAGTAGGATTTCCAGTTTCGTCTTGTGACCCTCTGGCTCTTTAATCTTTTGTGTCCGTGGGACCTCGGGGGCTTGTTCTGAAGAGTTTTTGATTTGTTGTGTGTCAGCAGTGCTTGTGCTGTGAAGTGTGCATGCTGCCATGTAGTGATCCTCAACCTAATAACAGTGACTCACTTTTTGTTGCAGCCTGCAAGGAATAAATCTACCAGATATTTTGTGAGTTGATTTTCTACCTTTTGATCGTACCCGGAAAAAAAAAATGAAAGGGATCACTTGAATAACATATCCTAGATCTGAATGAATAAAAATTTTAAAAACTTTAATGTGCTAAAAAACAAAATCACAGAAAAGTCATCAATGGAATCTAATTTATCAACCAATAGATGCCTGGATTTGGATTAAAGTGTAAAAACTCTCCAGGCTGATCCAGCTTTGATGTAATGTCGTTCAAACAGGTCAGAATGAGGCTCAGTATTGTGTGTTGCCTCCACCTGCCTCTATGATCTCCTTACAACACCTGGGTTTCTCCTGATGAGGAGGGGGATTGTTTCCTGAGGGGTCTCATCCCAGACCTGGACTAAAGCATCCTCCACCTCCTGGACAGTCAGTGGTGGATGGATGGAGACATGATGTCCCAGATGATCTCTATGGGATTCAGGTCTGGGAAATGGCCGGGCCAGTCCAGAGCTTCAATGCCTTCATCCTGCAGGAACTGCTGACCCCCTCCAGCCACATGAGGTCTAGCATTGTCCTGCATTAGGAGGAACCCAGGACCAACAGCACCAGCAGATGGTCACTAGGAGTCAGATGATCTCCTCTGGGTACCCAATGGCAGTCATGCTACCTCTGGGGAGCACATGGAGGGCTGATGGGCCCTCCCCATCAGTGCAGAGCACAGGGCTCCAGTGGAGAATTAGCCAATCCTGGTGTTATGTGGTAAATACTGAGCATCCTGCGTGATGTCGCTCTGTGAGCACAATCCCCATCTGTGGACGACAGGCCCTCATACCATCCTCATGGAGTCGGTTTCTGCCCATTTGTGCAGACACATGCACATTTGTGGCTTGCTGGAGCTCAGTTAGCAGGGCTTTGGCAGTGCTCCTCCTGTTCCTCCTTCACAAAGTCAGAGGTAGCGGCTCTGCTGCTGGATTGTTGCCCTCCTAAGGTTTCCTCCACATCTCCTGGTGTCCTGGCCTGTCTCCCAGTAGAGCCTCCAGCCTCTGGACAATATGCTAACAGTCCCGGCAAACCTTGTTGCCAAAGCTGGCATTGATGTGCCATCCTGGATGAGCTGCACTACCTGAGTCACTGGTGTGGTTTGTAGAGTCTGTCTCATGCTTCCATGAGTTTGAAAGTTCCACCAAGTTTCAAAAGTGACCAAAACATCATCCAGAAAGCAGAGAAGATGTCTGTGATCCCCACCTGCAGAACCACTCCTTTATTGAGTGGGTCTTGCTAATTGCCAATAATTTCCACCTGTTTTCTATTCCATTTTTACGGCAGTTTGATTTCACAGAAGTTTGTTTTGATTGAAGTTATACTGTGTTGTTTACGTGTTCCCTTCATTTTTTGAGGTGTGGTTTTCTTTTAAAAAACATTTCCTGAATTTGAACTTCAGTTTCAAAAGTGCAGGCTAACATTACCTTCTCCACAGGAATGTTAAACTAATGGAGCTAATTGCTCTGTTTATCCACAGCAGAGGTAGAACACTAGATGGGACAATCTTGCTCGAACCACATTAAGCCTAAACTTGATACAAGGAGATGCAGGGAGGGGGGAACGTTGGAAGATATCTAATGATTTAGAGAAGAATTTGGAGCTTTTGAAGGAGTTCAGTTTCCTACTCTGACCTGCTGTTTCTGGCTTAGTTCTGAGCGGCGTTGTTTTCGTCAACAATGCACAAGTATTTCGTTTTCAATCTTTTTTTTTATGACAATGAGAACCGATGAGCCAAACATGGATCTTTGGTTAGGAAAACATGACGACTCATGGGCGTGAGTTTTCGTTAATGAGACGAGACTAAATAAAAATGTTAGCGGGTCAGACGTTTAAAATGCATCATTGTGCTGGAATCAGCTAAGCAGTATCAACCGTGCTGCTGCTTCCTGTTTGGTCACGCCGCCCACCTGGCGTGCAGCGGTGCTCACTCTGCATGACCACAGATGGATCCTGAAAATAATCCAGAATGGTCCGGTACTGCGCGCTGAACTCTAAGTCTGATCTTCCAGCTCCACTCCACTCTGATGGTTCGCTCTCAGCAGTATGGCTGTTCCTGCTCTCGCTACCTAATAAACTTTATGTGGCTGATCATCCTCTGCCAAACGTAAAAAATCCCTTTGTGAGATTTGTGAGATCAACACCTCAGGAGCCAATGCAGTTTGAGTAAAGGCCTGGTTATCCTCCCGCAGTGGTGTGTCACTGTGAGCTTGTTGCAGATATTTTTGATTTATACCCACTATTGCAGCGTGGTCTGCGCTATGTTATTCCACGCCAGAACACAAGAGGGCCTATCAAGAACTAGCTATGGGTCTAGATACGGCCAAGATGGTGAGGTAGTGGGGGCAAGTTTGTGCGACAACAGAGGGATATGATGGCCAAAAAGAGCAGGGATCCAGGTGGAAAAAGGGTCCCAGCGTTCTCGCGCACCTTCGCTCTTCTAGCTGCTCCATCTCCAGTTGTCAGACTGTTGTCTGTGCTATGCAGGTGATATTCCCCTGTCTTCTGCTTGGTTTCCTGGGAAAAAATTATTTTGTACTTTTAGGGAACTTTATTACCCATGTGGATAATGACGGCGTTACCNTTGTACTTTTAGGGAACTTTATTACCCATGTGGATAATGACGGCGTTACCTGAAGGGGTGTGATCTTGAAGAATGGGCTCCTCATATGTTTCTGCACTAATTCATGTGGTCGGACCATAATGCAGGATACAGAATATCCATAATGAACACCATGTCTGAGCAATGAGTTGCTCATTAGTGTTCTTGGGTTACAGGCACATTTAGCCAGTGTTTGATGATGATTTTTTTTTTTTTATTGGTGTAGTCAGACCTGGACCCTCAGGTGAAGGGAAACCTTTACTTCTGGCCCTCATCACACATCTTGGATTTCTCTTGTCTTGAAGGAGATCATGGACAATGGGCCTCATGGTAGGAGCAATCGTACGAAAACAAAATTATTCTTATATGGCAAAGTTCACTGATTAGTGGACCGCGGTCCGGATCTGGACCCACCTGCTGGGTGTATAATTACTGTATAAATTACTGCATGTTGTCTGACGACAGTGTCTGACTTCACTTGCGCCTCTTCTCCTGTTAATACGGTA